GCTGAGGTTGAGGAACCCTACACTAAGTGATAAACTAATCACATTATCTGGGTTAATACAGAGCAATCAGATGTTAGCCTAGACTAGTGTTTCTCAACCTCAGCAACTTTAAGATGGGTGGACTTCAACATGCTGGCTGGGGAATTCTGGGAGTTGAAGTCCATATATCTTGAAGCTGAGAAACACTGACCTAGACAGTTGGGCAAAGTCAGGAAACACAGCACAAAACAGAGGCAAATGAGGGCAGGAAGACAAGAATCAGGTTGCAGACAACTCAGTGTTTTTAAATGCAGTAAAACTCTGTTTTTCTTAGTGACATGAAGTCGTAAAGTCAAAAGCCAGAACCGCTGCAGCGGAGCATTTCTAAGCAGTCTCAAACCGTTCAAGTAAAAGTACTTCCTTTAGGACTCAGTGTGCCCCAAAGTTCTCCATGCCTCTTCTGTTTAACTCAGTCCCATAGCCATGATCCCCTAGAGTCAGCCTTGATTCTTGATGATTTCATGGACATGCCTATGTAGTTTTCTTGGCTCATTAAGGAAATTGTTTGTATTGCTTTCTTCTGACATCTGTTTGTTTGTTTTGAACTCTTAGTCTACAGTCCTGTGATTTCGAGGTGGTCTCCCATCCAAGAACCAATCGCGTTTGGCCTGCCTTGGCTGATATCAGCGAGGAGTCCACTAAGTGCTTCCTTCTCCGAGTTTTCAAACTTTGGAGACGCATGCATTAAATAAACCTACCGGATCCCTTTAACCGCAAAACCTGAAATTGCTCCGTGTCCTGGAATGATCCATTGATTGGCATTACCGCCCAGCGCTGCCGCAGCTGCTGCTTCCTGCTCCGCCAATCAGCACCAGCCTTCCACCGAAGATTGCCGGAGAGGGTTCGATTTATTAGCTCACCTAATCCCGCCCCTTGATCCTTGTTATGTTCCTCCCGATAAGTGGTAGGGCTGCTGTCTACCCTGAGTGATAGCTCGCTCCTCCAAACAGAGGGAGAATCCGGAAGGCGTTACTAACTCTTCCCCCTTCTTTAGCAGTCCGTTCAAAGCTGTTGGGAGCTGTTCGTTGTAGGCGCTGCGGCTGGGAGGTGCTTTGTTCCTGCAGGCTGGTGGTTTTCGCAGACCGAGCTGTGCGGTTTCAAGGTAAATAATGCTTTTGTTTTTAAAGGTTGCTTTTCAAAATGCGTGTATTCATTAAGCCGCAGCAGCGAGAAATATAATTGCATCGGTAGCTTCGCTTTGAAATGCATTTTTCTTTTCCACCCCGTAGGTTCTGTTGTCGGAGCGCGCGCTTTGCTGTTCACTCGGGGCTCCGCTGAAAGAAGGGCTCCCCGGCATCGGGTCCCTGAGCATTGCACGCTTAGTCGGGTAGGGATGTCCGTACCTGGGTAGCGATGGTGGTTCCTTGAGCAAGGGGAAGGAAGGATGAATCTGGGTGCCCTGGGGAGGATTAGGTGTGCAAGTCGTTCTAATTTTGGTTCGGCTATTTTAAAAAGTCACCAACGCCGGGTTTTTTCCCCCCCACGCTGTGCATTCGAGCTGGGAGGAGTCTTAAAAAAGCAAATTAGAGTAGCCACATCTTACTATGTTCGTGGACATGGGTCCTAGCTTTGGGGTATCACGTTAGCGAAACCTGTTTTTTCTGTAACCATCTAATGATACCTTCAAATTCCCAACTAGTCTTCGTTCCTGTTTTTAAACCAGTCCTTCCTCTTCTACTTTCATTGCAACCTTGATATTAATTTCATTTTGTGTATTGGGTACTATGTATGCTCAAGGCAGATGCCCTGGTGGTCCCCCATCCATCCAATGCCTAGGCAGACCCCACCCTGCTTAGCTTCTGAGCTGGCCAAATGGTTGCACCTGTTCAGCATGGAACAGATAATTGAATTAAAATAACATAAATGGCTTGTTAGTCTTGACTGTACTGATCAGGCAGCCATGTAACATACCAATTACTGTAAAAGTGTTTTTCTGTAGCTTGTGAATGTGTCCTGAGTTTGTTTGCTTCTCAGATATAGCAAGGGAGTTTCATATGTAAATGAAGGAATGCATACTGGTTAGATTTATGCCAAAAACCCTGGTTTATGTGCCATGCTGAGTCAGCTTTTCCCAACTTGCTCTCCACTGATGCATTCTCTAATTCTGGGGATGTTAAAGATCCTCCACAGCTGGAGCATGCCAGGTTGGGAAAGTCTCTGCGAAGCCATGATATTATATATTTAATTTTGACTTACTGTTGTGTAAAGTCAGCCAATGTAGTTTGTGGCTTAGTCTGTATAAATCAAGTCAGTTAGGAGTTACCTGATAGACCATGGGTAATTATACTAATAATCACAGTAGTATAATGTATGAATACTGTTACTGAATTCAGTGGGATGTTCTAGGAATAAGTATATCTAGGCAAAAGTCAAAGCAGAGCGTTAATGCGTATCTGCGAGATCAGGAAAAGTCATATTGAAATAGCATTGGTTTTTGAATCCATTTTGTCCGTGCAATATGCAGTCAGAATGCAGGGCCTCTATTTTTTCAGTAATATAGGTTGGACAAGTTTTAAATCATGAGATCTGGCTAGGAAGAATGTATGCACCTGAAAAGTCAGGAATCTCTTAAAATCCCATCCCAAATATGCCTGTAGTTAGGAAGAGCCTAGCTATGTTCTGCAGAGGGAACACAATGAGCTTTGTTAACCATTTTAGTATGGATAAAAGCTCTTTTACTTGTGATTTCTGTACCTTCTGTAAGATGTTTCAGTAGGAACAACTGTTTTGCCTTCATCATAAAAGGAAATGATTTTTTTTTTTACCCAACTGGAAGAGTGAGTTTAGAAGCTATAGCACGGTGTGGGCTTCAGATTTCATCATTCCTGATCATTGGCTACTCTGGCTGTGGCAGATGGGAATTTAGTCTAAGCCCTGGTTGACATAGCATTTAGAGTTCAGGAATTAGATTGGAGTGAGGCAAATCCTAGGTTAGCCATGGAGTTGAAGTAAGACTTCAGACTAGGCACTAATTTGCAATGCTGGTTGTTTCCTTAAATGTGGTTTATTGTCAACCATGATTTGTTGATATTCAAATTCAGAATGGCTGATTAGGTAAAATAATGTGATATGTAAACTTAGTCATTTTGTTTTTCACTATTGTATCTCAGAGCTTGAAGTTTTTATTCGGTTCAAAGGAAGTGCTTTTTTGAAATAAAGCAACTTATACTTTTCTGATATATATTCCATCTGTAGAATCACCATTGGAAAAATATTTAAGTTTTTTATTAGTGCTAAAAATTGATACTACTTGTTTTTTATTAGACATTTCAGACACACAAAATGCTCCCACCCCTTACATTCACAAGTTGATCACGTGCACAAACACTTTGGGCATATACACACTCTAACATTGTTCAGATCACACAGTATTTTTTGATGTTTTACTAATGCTGAATCTTGAACTATTTTTGTCAGATTATACTATGTGCATATGATGAAAGTCTGCAAAACCCTATTTTTTTCCTAGGATTGTTTGGTAGTTGTGACCTGTGCAATCCTGGGATAAAGTGTGGCTATAAAGGGGTTGTAGATAGGTACTAAATTTGCACTCCTGTGCTCTCCAAAACAGCATTTGGCCTTTAAATCCAAAGCACTACATAACCCTAATAATTACTGAACAATTGTGCTAATCCATTGTTGGTGTGACATTTGCATTCATACATTTTATTTGCTTTAGTTTCCCCTCTATCCATTCATGATCTCCTTTAGATTTTGTATCTCTTTTAATAATCTTTTACTCTTCATCCCTCAATTAGGGTTAGGGTTTTTCTATTCATTGTTTTCAGCAACTTTTCCTTCCCCGTTCTTTAATTCTAGCATTATTTCTTGGTCCATACACTATATTATATATGAATATATATGCATGTATATACACTACATTATTTATATGCTACATTCCTTGGTCTGTACACTGTAGCAGTATTTCTCAACCTTGGGAGCTTTAAGGGGTGTGGACTTCAATCCCCCCAAATTCCCCCCCCACCCCACCCCTCCTGGGGGTGTTGTGGTTGTGAGGGTGCACAACTCTCCATTTCCC